GTATAGATACTCAAATATCTAATATAAAATATCATTGAGTTTACATATAACCTGAATTACTAATATAAAATGGCATATTGTTTATATACTGCATATGCACATTCACTGTAGACCTTAAACCATCTCTAAGTTATTTATAATACCTAATGCCATACAAATACTATATAAATGATTGTTAGACTATTATTTTTGGATAATGACAAGAAAAAGGGATATAATCATCCGTATAGATGCATTCTGACCAGTGTTTCTCAACCTTCCTAATGGTGTGACCCTTTAGCCCAATTTCTCATGTTGTGATAACCTCAACCATAAAATTATTTCTATTGTTACTTCATAAATATAATTTTTCTACTGTTACAAATTGTAGTGTAAATACCTGTGTTTTCCAATGGTCTTAAGCAACATCTGTGATTTAAGCTTCCCTACATAGAATACAAAGAGATGCAAGGTAGTCAAGGTACAAACAATGAATGCTAAAGAGATGCTGCATGTGTATGAAATGGCATGAGGCTATAGCAAGATGTGTTTTCAAAGGCATTCCTTATCTGGGCAGTGGTGGCGCACGCCTTTAATCCCAGCACTCAGGAGGCAGAGGCAGGCTGATCTCTGGGAGTTCGAGGCCAGCCTGGTCTACAAGAGCTAGTTCCGGGATGAGCACCAAAGCTACAGAGAAACCCTGTCTCGAAAAACCAAAAAAAAAAAAAAAAAAAAAGGCTTTCCTTCCCGTGGGTTTGGTGCAGTGCTTGCCACACATTTTGCTTTTTGGAGTTTTCTAGAATTAAAAAAGAAATCTAATCCAAAGTGGTTGAATCTGTAGATTTGAACTTCATTTAATATTGAAAACCACACTTACCTTCCCTCCATGTATCCATTACCATTTGTGTTTATATTTTCTATGTCTATGAAGCAAATTGGTGGGCCTCATTAAGATTAAGAAATATTTCCTGAGGTGTGTTTATAAGGCAAGAATGCTTTTTATAAACTTATTTGAGGCAACTTGATGAATTTGGTTCCCCAAACCAAATGTACTGTCAGTGACAGTAACTTTAAGGATGCATAGAGAGTCTTGGGTAAAACATAAATTACAAGTTTTAATTCTTTGCCTTAAATTGCTAGGTGGGTTATAGAAAATTAAGTTCCTTCTTCCTTTCCAGACATTTAGTAATTTGGGAAAAGATGAACCCCCTTAGCTAGTGAGAAAGTCCAATTAGAGAGATAAGAGAGTCAAGCTGGGGAAGGAAGGAGTGGGGGTAGGGGGATGGGACAGGAGCCAGAAAGGAGGAAATCACACCCACCCTGGAGTCAAGGCAAGGTTTGTAGTTTCCACTAAGAAACCTGAAAGCTCAAAACAGGAAGAAAGGGGTGAGGTGCAATCCAAAAAGTAATCAGCTCACTGACATTTTATTTATTTTTACCTGGGGAAAAGGGTTGTGAGGAAGGGGGTTTAGGCTCCCAGGTTGACACAGCAGCTGCAGCTGCAATAAAGGAACCGGGTGTCTGGAGAAGTGGAAGAGGGGCCCGGGATAGGGAGTGGGGGCTTAACCTGTTTCTCGTTCTAAACAGAAACTCACACATTCTGAATAAAGGAACGAGAGACTGTGTGAAGTTCAAAATGGGAGATATTTTCAAGCCCAACCAAAAAGGAAGTTACTCTCCATGGACACAAAATCTATCTCAGTAATTACCTAGAAACCTAAGGGAGACCTCCCTGCCCCCAGTACCTTTTAACTACCCTATGAAAAAATGCAGTGGGAATGGAAAAAGAAGAAATGAGAAAAAGACAGAAAGCATACAAAATTAAGATAAAAGAAAACTTGTTTGAAATTTTTAAAATTGATTTTTATTGAGCTCTACATTTTTCTCTGCTCTCCTCACGGCCTCTCTCCTCCCCGCTACAACCCTCCCCCAAAGTCCCCATGCTCCAAATTTACTCAGGAGATCTTTTCTTTTCCTACTTCCCAAGCAGATTAGATCTATGCATGTCTCTCAGTGTCCTCATTGTTGTCTAAAATCTCTGGTATTGTAGTTTGTAGGCTGGTTTTCTTTGCTTTATGTTTCAAAACCACCTATGAGTGAGTACATGTGATAACTGTCTTTCTGTGTCTGGGTTACCTCACTCAAAATAATGTTTTCTAGTTCCACCAATTTTCCTGCTAAATTCAAGATGTCATTTTTTTTTTCTGTTGTGTCTTGTAACATTGAACTTCATTCCTTTCGCAGGAAGGACAGGAAAGAAAAGAGGAAAAATGGAGTGTGAGAGACAGTTGAGAAAGTATTCAATGGTGTCCCATAGTATGCTCAGGCAGCTAGGAGCTCAGACTCTTGTCACTAAAGGAGCTAAAAGTACACTGTTATGGGTTCTAGGACAAGAGTGTTCTAGGACACTGAGTGGTCTCAAGAAAATGTTTTCCACTTCTGCCAGCCTCTGCTCTACAGAATGGGTAGTGAGTGCTATTTAAAATGAAATAATAGGTGTGTAAGGTAGAAGGTACAACAGTACAGGTTCCTGACAAAGCTTTATTGTGCATTACCTGCTACACATTTAATTCCCCTAACACTTGGGGTAATTAAGAATCATTATTGCTTTCTTCAACAAACAGGAAAACTGGATTGTAAAGAGTTTAGTCCATTAAGGTTAAAAAAAAATAGCTACTAGCTGGAAGACAAAAGCCAGCTCTGATTAAGCTTTTAATCAGAGCTTTTAACACTCGAACTCAAGAAGGTAAGGTCATCTAAGTAGTTATTACATTGTGGACTTCATAGTGTTTATATTTTATTTGTAGGATGTATGTAGTGAGGAGCTACAGGCTGCTTCATGCCACCCGGCTAGCTTTACCAGAAATAATTACACGGAAACTGTATTTTTTAAACACTGCCTGGCCCATTAGTTCCAGCCTCTTATTAGCTAACTCTCACATCTTGCTTAACCCATTTCTATTAATGTGTGTAGCACCACGAGGTGGTGGCTTACAGGGAAGATTCTTAACCTGTGTCCATCTGGGAAAGGAGACCTATGGTGTCTGCTTCACTTCCCTTCTTCCCAGCATTCTGTTCTGTCTACTCTGCCTAGCTAAGCTGCTGTCCTATCAAAGGCCAAGGCAGTTTCTTTATTAACCAATGAAAGTAACACGTAGACAGATGACCTTCCTTCAGCAAATGTATATCGATTGAGTAGTAATACCTTAGAGATTGGGGTAAAAATGTTCCTTGATTGATGGAAGGGTTATATTCTGATGAACCTAGTATAAGTTGAAAATATCAGGTTCAAAATATACTTGATATACTCAATCTACCAAGCACCTCTGCACAGAGGCACAGCACACCACTAAGTATTGCCTCTTTAGTCTTGAAATCTTGTGGCTGACTTGGAACTTTGAATGACTGTTGCTGCTGTGTATCTTGAAAGACATCTATACCCTTTTGGCAAGCTGAGGGAATGATTAATATTTAAAATTGGAAATCTGATTTCTA